AGGCGGCTATGAAAATAAAACTGATGTTATTACCCCAATCAACAGATTGTTCATAGGGGGTGGCGAATTTTGATGCCTCATGAAGATAAAGTTGATGCTATTACCCCAACCAACATATTGTTCATAGGAGGTGGAAAATTTTGATCCCTCATGAAGAGAACGTTGATGTTATTACCCCAACCAACATATTGTTTATAGGATGGCAAACTTTGATCCCTCATGGAGATACAGTTGAGGTTATTACCCCAATCAACATATTGTTCAGAGGGGGTGGCGAATTTTGACCCCTCATGAAGATAACGTTGATGTTATTACCCCAACCAACATATTGTTCATAGGGTGGCAAATTTTGATCCCTCATGGAGATATAGTTGATGTTTTTACCCCAATCAACATATTGTTCATAGGGTGGCAAATTTTGATCCCTCATGGAGATATAGTTGACGTTTTTACCCCAATCAACATATTGTTCAGAGGGGGTGGCAAAATTTGACCCCTCATGAAGATAGCGTTGATGTTATTGCCCCAACCAACATATTGTTCATAGGGTGGCAAATTTTGATCCCTCATGGAGATATAGTTGATGTCTTTACCCCAATCAACATATTGTTCAGAGGAGGGTGGCAAATTTTAATGTGATGATGATCATGATGATCATGATGTGATGATGTGATGATGTGATGATGTGATGATGTGATGATGATGCTGATGCTGATGATGATGATGATGATGATGATGATCATGGCGATTGTAAGTGTGGAGCAAAGTCCGGGTTGGGGCGAACATGTTTTAGCATGTTTGAGCAATTCTTAAGCAATTCACTTGGGCTGGTGATCTTGTCTTCAAGATAAGCGTACAGACCAAACAAAACCAAATCGGCCCCAGGACTATGCTGAGACGTTGGCGCAGGTGCAGGAGGAGATTCAGCAAACAGCTGGGAAGAAGTGGGATCTCCCAGGCACTCCAATGGCTGGGTTTAGCATGGTTTAAAACGGTGTAAATAGATCATATAGATCTAAATATATCCGAGTCCTTATAAAATTATTCCAAATGTCATTTTCTCAGTGAAGATTGTGAAGATTGCCATGTTGCCTCATAGCAGTCATAGCATCCCTACGGCCCCGATGCAATGTGTATCAGTGTGTGTGATCTCCAAGAATTAGAATGATACCCGCTCCGATTCCCAGTCACTCTTGCGGGTATATAAACCTGCGGCCAAGTTCTTCATTCTCCTAAGGTACGAGGAAGAGTCTGGTGATGAGGAGAGTGAGGAGAGATCCCAGGGCCGAAGTTGCCGCTCATTGGCTGGCTCATCATATCATATTTTGCATGCACTGGGTGTTTTAAGTATGGTTCGTTTACATCTGATTATGGTATTGTATAAATTTGTATAATGTGATGTTTCAAATTTTATAGGAACTCTTGATTAGTTCAGGTTATCTCCATGATAGTTCTAATGTTCGTTAAGTCTTTGGGGAACTGTCCTTGGTCGGTGTTTCCATTGTTTCAGGACACTGCCAGCTCTTCTGCCTCCGAAAACGATGGAGCGGGAGGAGGCCCGGGGCGAAGCTCAAGCCAGAGTGAATGTGAACCGTGCTTGATGAAGGATCGAGGGTAGCCGCTGTAATAATCTGTAATAGTTATACATATTTATCTGGTGGTTTGGAACATTTTTTATTTTTCCATATATATTGGGAATAATAATCCCAACTGACTTTCATATTTTTCAGAGGGGTAGGCGGTAGGTATACCACCAACCAGTTATACCTTGTTTGCTACTGAAATTTGGCCGTGGCCAGAAATCTCCCTAGGCCGTCCCAGCGGTGCTGCTGCGGGCGGTGGTGCTGCCCCACCGCCCCTGCGGCCCCTGGCGCAAGTGCTGTCCGAGCAGACGCGAGGGCAGCAGGGGCAAACTGGGCTCAGAGTGGGAAAGCCCAGGTGGTGCTAAACTGCTAAACAATCACTTTTCATGGGCATCTAAGACTTTAAGATCAATGAGGTAGTACAAGAAGATCATCAGATCATCAGGCATTTTGATCACGTTTGAATTATTTTGAATCTATAATAGTATTATACAATTGATGCTCGAAAAGGGACGATGACTATCAAGAAAGACTGGGAATCTTCCAAATATTCAAGGATTTGAATGGATATGAGCATGTAACCAGAAGTAAAGAGGATAAAGGCGACGAAGGATGGGGATGCGTCCGCCCCGTAGGGGAGTCAATGAGCCAAGTATTTCAGGTTGATACAGGCACAAGGTTTGCAGCCTAGAAGATAGGTAAGCAGCTGGAGGAAGCAAGTACTGAAAACACTCATCATACTCATCACTTGTATCGTACTATGGCCGGTCGATTGTATATTGATACTCATTTTCACTTGCTTCCAAACATCCCATTACTGGGTGATATGGCTGTCGGGCACTTCATCCTAGTTTCTTTTTTTTTTTGCCCAGAGGTCTTGCTAGAAGAGGTGGCTTTCAACGGTCAAATTTAGATTTTTTCTTGGGGGAACACTCCAAATCCTTTGGGAATTTGAAAGTGGATTGTCCCACTTGGTGATAACTTATAACTTATATAAGTGGGTTAATTATCCCATATTATCCCACTAACTGGATTATCCCACTAACTGGGGTTACAACATGTTACAACATGTTATAACTTATAACCCGCTCGTTAACCGTTAACTTACTACTGGGATGATCCTCCAAGCATCCGCCATCCCAAGTCCCAAGGTCGCCGCAGCCGTGGTGCGCGGCAACGGTGGTGCCGTGGGCATGCAACTCATGGTGCCTCGCTTTTCGTTGCTGGACCTGTTGCTGGACGTGACACAAGACACCTGTGGGGGTTGGATAGGGGTTGGCTGAAAGCCAAAAAATATGGAATGAAACACCATTTGTTCCAAGTACATATTCGTTTTGAACCTTTGCAATTTGGTCACGCAATGATAGATTGACTACGAAGAAAAAGTCCAAGTGATACGCAGTTCCAGAGATTTCTAGATCGAGTATGATCGAGTCAGGTCGGGAACTTCTCGCAGCAACCCATGAGTGGTTGGGTTGGGCCCCAAGAGCTGTGACGTGGGGCTGTCTTGATATCAACGCTTCACCAGGGGTTGGTTTTCTCTTCAAAATCATGGGAAAGCCACCGAAATCCATCAAATTCCCATGGTTTACTGTATCTTGGTTTATTATGATCTTTTTTCCATTAAAATAACCGCACATATCCGCAAATGTTAGGGTAAATCCTCCCCATTTGGAGAAAGCATGAGAAACCCGTTGAGGCCGTGCAGATGAACAAGAACCCCTTCGGCTTGGCACCTTCTGGACCTTTGCAGCTGAACGTGGTGCGCACCATCCATCATCATCCATGTAATCCCTTCCAACTATTGAAAAAAACCCAAAATACATCCAAATACCATGGTTTGTTAGGGCAGGGGAATTGCATGGAAGCAACACATTCTTTGGAAGCCATAGGCCCATGGGATCCCTTTTGTGTCCATGGGGTATTTTTATCGGTCCAGTGACTCAGTGGTCTTCCCCGTGGAACCCACGGCACGGAGGTACCTCCCAATGGAACCGGTAAAGTCTTGCTGCCCCTGACGCCCAACCAGCTGTCGTCAGGCGATTTTTTTGTTGGATCTGGTGGAATATAATGGTGGAATCATCATGAAATCATCCCAATAAGAGATAGTAGTATACGTTCTAATACGTTTTGTATTATACATATAATAATATATATATAATATCATATATATATACATATTAAATACATATCAAATCATGAAAGTTCGGAAGAGTTTGAAACATTGTTTTCCGGTCGGATACAATAAGTGATGGTTCCAAAGTCTCGTTTCTGTGCCATCCTGTGCCGTCCTGGATTACTCCGTCAGGTTCAGCTCCAAGCAATCCGCTTTACTTGGAGGCCAGGGACTGGATCGACCCATTTTTCAAGGGCTGGCCTTGTCTTGACTCTGCTACTACCTGGTAATCCTGGTATCTTTTTGTTATGACACCTTCGTTTCTCCATGTATCGTGTGTCATGTTTGCTCCTCGTAGAGACCAGGATATGACGTGGCGTTGAGTTCGGTTTGTGCTGGTCCAACGCCCCAAGCTGGTGGTAGGTGGCCATAAAGACCAACGTCGATGTCTTCTATCTCAATGTGGCCTGGTATGGCATGAGTTCATTGCAGTTGGGAAGTCTGTCAGGCAAACCTGACTACTTGACACAACCCAAAGGACCGCACTCCAAGAGTTTGGATGTTTGGATTTGCATGGAACATGATCACAATCAATTGTTGGGCCGTTTAACAGGTTTGCTCCGACATGCTCCGACCTTTTAAAGGCAAATGATTCTCAGAAGGAGGGACAATTGGTAAGTAATGGCAAGTATCGGTAAGTATTCCAACTATACTTTTGATGGTAATATAATAATATAATACCAATATAATACCAATCACCTATCCCATTTTTCTCCTTTCATTGGCCATCGTAGTGCTCGGCGAGGTGGGCTACGACCTGTCTGCCGTGCTGGTGGACGATGGTCCCATGCCCAAGGATGCCTTCCAACGTCTTTGGCAGAGCGCGCCCGCCGACAAGAAGGCAGATGTTTCGTCGAATTCAGATGGCAATGGAGATCAATGGATTGTGTTTTGTGCATGGGTTGGACATTTTGGAATTCGGATTTTGGGTGGGTCTGAAGTTCTGACATGAGTGCTTGGAGCACTTGATAGCACTTGAAAAGCTCTCCCGGATGGTCTTAGCTGGTAGATGCTTGTAGATCTTGGCATTACGAAACACAGCCAAGGCATCCAAACATGTCTGAAAATAGGGTAGCCCATGGTAGCCCCATGTAGCCCTAAATCCACTTGTTCTACTTTTTCCATCTTTTTCCATCTTTTTCCATCTTTTTCCCATTAAAATGACCATGGCTTGGATGGCTGGGGGATATGCCATTGACAAGGGCGTGGCCTTCGCCAGGCCGTGTGTCAAGGAGCCTTTAGTCAAAAGGTGACGGCAGATATGGTTTCCACCAGGAGCCTAGAAAGGGTTATAATAGCAAAGGGATGGCCTTTCAAGGCTATCCTGGCCGAAGAAAGTGGAGCTGTTGACATTTCTTCCTTTTGGCTGTTACGTTCTTGTTCTGAGTTTAGTCTCCTTCTTGTTCTTCTTCATGTTCTCTGTTTTCTTGTCGTCCTGACCGTCCTGACCCTTGTTTTTTGTTTTCAACATGCTATGAATTGCTGTGATTTCCTTCGTCCCATAGTTGATATGCTGATAATTTAGTTTGGCAATAGCCTCACACGTGTCTTGATTCCAGTGGCCAGGATGCAACAATACTATTGCTTCCTGGTTGCTCGGACCCAGGCCTTCCGCTTCAGATGCCACTGGGATCGGGGTAGATGTGAGACTCCAACTGTTTCCCAGTCACCGGGGCCAGAGATTTTCCTTGATTTGAGGATGGAATGTTCTTTTGCTGCCAGGCGCAAGACATGGATCAATTGTATTTCAGTTGCGGGGCTCTCAGCGTGCAGCTCTGGGTTTGTTAATCGAGGGTCATGATTTCAGTTGCGGTTTTCTGCATGCAGCTCTGGGTTTGTTAATCGAGGATCATGACATCTGCAGCGGATGCTCGCAAGATTTAGTCCTCTTTATCGCACTACCAAGTTGTAGATGTTGTAGAGGCTGAGGGTCCATCGGCGCCCATAGAAGCTCATGGCTGCTGTGGCGATGCAACCGTTGACGAAACAAACAGAGTTTCAGGTCCTGAAACTCTGTTTGTGTTGTCAGCCATTGCCCCTTCAGAAACATCAAAAGTGTCGCAGAAACCAGCAAGGTCTTGGACTGCGGAACACCAACAACACATGGATGTGGGTCAAAATGGAAGACCGATGTGGGACCACAGATGGAAATGTCTAGTTTAGTATTAACCATCCAATTATTGGGGTACCTAATTTTGACCCATACCCACATATATGAAAAGCTTCATTCAGACTTCATTCCACACTGACGCCTTTGTTCGGCGAATTGATAACTTCAGCCTGAAGCTGAAAGCCATCCAAATGTCCAAAATTGACAAGGAGGACTTTGAGTTCGGAATGAAGGTGGTGGAGGTCCTTCAAAAGCAGTTCGCCAACATGGCATTGACAATGCACAAACATACGGACATTTGGGACATCCTGCAAGCATTCCCAGCAGACTATCGCTCAGGTGAGCAGCAGGACATCTTGCTGCTCACCTGAGCGATAGTGCGGCAGGCTGTCACGAAGATAATTCGCTTCTTCTTTGACAATCTGGGCGGAAGCAATCAATCTCTGCTGAGAGAAGGCTTCGCGGGTGAGCTGCAAGAGAAAATTCAATATCGGGAGTGTAGCAAGTTCAAGGTCCGCGAGGAGACCTTCACGGATCTGGTGCTGCCTGTGCCCACTGCGGAGCAGGCCAAAGGAAGTGGCATCGTGCCAGCTATTAAGAAGCTTCTCCAGAAGTGTCTCAAGTGTATGGCTGACGCTCAGAATTTGGTCACATGTGAAAAATGCCAGAAGAAGACATGTGCGGGGAATTGACGCAAAATCTCCCGACCACTATCGAGGTGTTTAGGTAATTTCGCTCCCCTTCACCGCACTCATCACATCTTTGCCTGTGCCTGAAATTTAGGCATAAGCAAACATGGGATGAGTGCGGTGAAGTGGAGCGAATTGTTTCACCTTCACTATGGAAACTTGGAAACCTATGACCTCACCAAGGAGAAGATACCGGTGAAGATAGATGAGGGCCTATGGACTCATAGCCGCCAATCATTCAGTCAGGCAAGGATGCTTTGAGTGGATACATCATCCATCTACTCGCCGAAAAGTGCTTGTTCAGCGGGACGGCCTCCAAATCCATTGGTTAGTAATTACATGTAATGTACATGTAATGTACATGTTAGTACAGTTTGCCCACCAAGATTGTCTGAAGGGTATACCCTAGTCGGAGGGTAACTGATTTACGCAGCAGAAACTGGGCTGTGGAACCCCACAAAACTGGATTTAACGAACACAAAATAACGCAAAATAGATTACAATAGAATTTATCCTATCGTATTTCCATTGAAATAATTCTGTAATATTATGTACAGATGGGGAAAAGGAAAAGTCAGGTTGCAAACCATGGGATGTTTCATGGGCAAAACCCACATCATTTATCATCATTTGAATGGATGTGGCTGGAGCATCTATCATGTTTAGCTGGTTGGTGGTTTGGAACATTTTTTCATTTTTCCATATATATTATTGGGATCATGTTTAGATGCTGGTTGGTGGTTTGGAACATTTTTTTATTTTTCCATATATTGGGAACAATAATCCCAACTGATGGTTCTGAACATGTCACGTGAAAGCGGGGATTCGATGACACACCTGGCTTTTTTTTGGTGCAGCAACGGTGGGTCCGCAAGTCTGGGATTGCATAGATTCCACAGTAGGAAATAAAGGAAACACCAGACAGACATGTGTGGGTTTGTGGTACATGCCATTTTCCCATCATTTGGGGTACATGGCCATTTTCAGACATACCCAGTTTTCGCCACCAAAACACCAGAAAGTTTGCCCACAAGGTGCAATTGGCAAGTGCTGAGGTGCCACCAGCAACAAGCTGAACGTTTACTGCGAGCTGAGTCTGCAGAGAAATGGTCCGGGGGTGCTTTCCTAAGTGATCTTTCACTTGTCATTTGGAGATTTTGGAGGCACAGATTCCATATGGGATTTTGCATCTCATCGGCACCTCTCAGGTGCGCTTGATTTGCTGCTCTGAGCAGCAAGTCATGGTGCCTCTCTTCCAGAGCTTTGTCTCGGAACTGCTGCAGGCAATGGTGTGGTGGTTTCACACCTGCTTGGGAGGAAGCTAAGGATGCTAAGGAACCATGGGCATCCACATTCTACGCGGCACTAGCCACAAAGTAGTTGGGTCCTTCCAAATTGATGCAAGATTAGATTTGTCCAGATGATTTGACCATCATCCTGTTTCTTGAGCCATGAGTCTACCTTGAACATGTGGGTGCGGGTGTGTAATGGGTTGTTCCTAACATGGAGATTTCCCAGTTTTCAGTCGGAACATGACGAATCAGCCACGAGATTCTTCGGGGTCAGCTGAAGGTGAGATGGCAACAAGGTGGCCCCCCTGCGCGGGAGCCTCAGGTTTTGTCTCCCAAAATCCACTGGTGGATCATCATTTTATATCATTTTGTCATATTTTATATCCTTTTCCCCTATTTAAATCTATAAAATACTATAAAAACATACGTAGTTTTATGTTTGCATCATTTGATATCATTTTAAGACAAACTCATCCGGTTGATTGGTTCATGACGTCCTCCCCCCGGTTGGTGTTTGTTCATTGGCCACTTCAGTATGTCAAACTTCGCTGGGCTGAGTTTGGAGTTTTTCACAGGATATGCCAGCCGATGTTGAGGATTTTGGACAAGTTCCAGTTGAAGAGATGTCGTGAACATGAACAGGGGTTGGTAACTGTCCCATTTTGGGAATATTGGACATTGGACATCACCTTATAGTTGCCATTATAGACCATATACCTAATGGTTGGGTGATGTTCAATGGGGACATTTAATGACCCATGAAGCACAAAAACCTAAGGCTACCTCCTGATCCAATAGAGAAATCCCATTAATCCCATAGGTCGCTGGTCATTTTTATCCTTGTTCCTTGGAGTTTGGGGAAAGAGTGAGTCTGCGTTCTATGAATTTCAACGAAGCTCTCATTTTCATTGGACCTTTTCCAGTGCTTTGCCATGGTTTGCCGACACTTCCAGGCCCCGTGGTTGACCAAAATGCCGCCCGCATCGCCATATGCCGCGAGAAAATGGTTTGAGATGGTTACGCTGGTGGCTGCAAGGATTCAAAAGATTCAACATATGTTTGTCATGTCATAAAATCATATAAAATCCAGTACCCAACATGACCCCACATATTTTCCCATCAGACTTCATTTTGATTGATGGTCTACTTTGGGATCACGAACTCCGAACTTCGGGCTGTCCGGGGCATGATCGACACTTGGCCGTGCCAGCTTGAAGAAGTGAAATTGGTGGGAGATCGGCTGCACTACAAGCGAATCACAGGTGCGGATCAGAAGTTGGATCAGCTGAAATGGACTGGGGTGAGGGTGGTGCGAAGGTTTTTGGAGATGGTTTATTTAGGGTTATTTAGAGTATTTAAAAATATTTTAGAGTTATATAATATGATATAATGATGTATATATATATATTATATATTATATATATATCTCTTTTATTATGGTTTATTTAGATGTTTTTAGATGGGTTGGTCAGGTGGAACCAATGAGGGTTCCCCCTTGGTTCATCACCAGAGTTGGTGGTGCGGCTGCCACTTTGAACACGGAACACTCGGGACCCCGCACGAAGACAATTTGGGCTATCGAACGCAAGAAATTGAATCAACTTGAATCAACTTATATATATATACATAATTGGTCAAGAGAAATATAATTAATTCAGTAGAAATTAGACTGTAGTTTCACAAATGGAGAATTAGAATTAGGGTTAATCTCCCTTTACATCAGCTATCCAGAGGGTGACCAGCTATCACTTTGAAGAACTGGAGGTACAGGTCCCGAGGAAGGCTGGGTGAGCACGAAGATCAGTGGAAAGGTGCGCGAAGCTGCAGTGCTGTGGAATGTTCGTTTGTCACAAAGGTGAGGCCAGTGAAAGTGTAGAGAACATAGAGACACTGGTTGGCTTGATGATATATCTAGACATATCATGACATATCTAGAAATGCTGCCCCCGCCCAACATGTTTTCGCAGCAAACTTCTCAAGTCGGACTCACACCTTGGCTCCCGAGAAGGAATCGATGGCGACTAGAAGCAAGATGAAGCAAAGGGGCATCACATCGAATAGAAATAGTTGGGTACTTTACCACCCCTTGCGGAATGCATGATTCAAGTCGTTGGAATAGCAACGAATAACCTTGGACCCGAAAGGTGTTGCTGTCCTTTGAATCCCCTACGAGTATTACGAGTACACAAGCTCGTACTTACTGCTGAATGCGTGGATGGATAGAAAACTAGATTTGCCAGCTCTAATATTGATTTTATTTTTGTATATGTAAACATATTTGATGTTCACTACTGCGATATACCAGGGTTTCTATCCATTGCCATATCCAAGTCGCAATCATAGCAGGAGTTGGTGGTCAAGAAGGAGGTGGACGACACCCCTGCGGAAGACGTGGGTGGCCCAGGCTCGGCCCAGAACTTGGTCACGGACTTGAGGAGCTTCTGCAGCTGAGTTCAGCAAGGATTTTACCAGCCACACAAATTGTGATTTTGGCATATTTTGGCAATGGTTTATTGGGGGTATGTATATATGGCTCAATTAAAAGACATGCAGGGGTTCATGTGAAAAGCGGCGAATTTGGTCGCTTCATTTTTGAGCCATGGCCCTGTGGAATGTCTCATGGCTCTTCCCAGAACATCCAGAACCCGGAGATGTGGACCAAGCAGCTGCTTTCTTCAGGAATGTCCTTAATTGAAGCTATATTGAAGCTATGGGCCAGACCATCAGAGTGAAGGGAAAGGGTCTTGAAAAATCTTCCACTCAGCCGCTCAGCCATTGTGGCTTTGGCTGCTTTGGCAGATTGCGGGCGCTGGCGAGTGATTTTGGACAGTGCACGTGAAAGACTACCCCTTTGGCGAATTATAACTTCCGCCTGAATCTGAAAAACGTTCAATATTGATGAGGACTTCGAGTTCGGAAAGGATGTGATGGAGCTTCTTCAAAAGCTGGCATTGACAACACACAAACATGCGGACATTTGGACATCCTGCAAGCATTCCCAGCAGACTATCGCTCAGGTGAGCAGCAGGACATCCTGTTGCTCGCCTGAGCGATATTTTCTGGTGTGCAGCAGGCTGTCACGGAGATAATTCGCTTCGTCTTTGACAATCTGGGCGGAAGCAATGAATCAATCTCTGCTGAGAGAAGTGCAAGAGAAAATTCAGTGTCGGGAGTGTGGCAAGTTCAAGGTCCGCGTGGAGACCTTCACAGATCTGGTGCTGCCTGTGCCCACTGCGGAGCAGGCCAAAGAAAGTGGCATCGTGCCAGCTATTAAGAAGCTTCTCCAGAAGTGTCTCAAGTGTATGGCTGACGCTCAGAATCTGGTCACATGTGAAAAATGCCAGAATAAGACATGTGCGGGGAATTGACGCAAAATCTCCCGACCACTATCGAGGTGTTTAGGTAATTTCGCTCCCCTTCACCGCACTCATCACATCTTTGCCTGTGCCTGAAATTCAAGCATAGGCAAAGATGTGATGAGTGCGGTGAAGTGGAGCAAATTGTTTCACCTTCACTATGGAAACCATTGGAAACCTATGACCTCACCAAGGAGAAGACACCTGAAGATAGATGAGGGCCTATGGATTGGCGGTTATGAACATGAATTTCATATTCATAGCCGCCAATCATTCAGTCAGGCAAGGATGCTTTGAGTGGATAGTACTATGCTACGGCAAAAATATTGGAGTCCACGCCCAGTGGAGATTCAAGATGGGATGCCATGGAGGATTCCCCAAGCTGAAGTCTCTATGCTCCTTTTGTCCCTCCCATAGACTACGCAAAGAAACGGGACAAGAAGCAGTGAGTAAAGCCAAACCGAGCGTAGTGACTCTCACTCTCACAGCCTCCATATATTATATATATATATAGATACTATATGGTAGTTTTGAATCTTCGTGAGGCTCCTTTGGTTGTTTGGTACGTTGCACAGTCTGAGATATCCATCGATCCTCAGCTTCCAACTCCATTGGCTACTTCGCATTTCCCCTTTGACGATTGTCGTTTTGGGGGGGTACGCTAGGTCGGATAGGTCTAGCAGAGATGTTTCTTGTGATTTTTTCCGCAGTTTGCCGTGATTCGCACATTATACAATACATACCTAATAATAGTAATTATCCTTACCTGACCACAGACCTAGGTTGAGCTAAGGAGTGAAGGATTGTTGACATCCCCATTGGACAGGGAGCTAAGCCCAGATACCGATACCTCCCAACCATGCGATAAATTTGGTATTCTGCCATTTCAATCGATTTCCATTCATGTTTGCAACCATTCATTTATCTTCAAGTTGCTACACAATTTCCATTCATTTCGTGCCAAACATGGCTAGTTGCTACCCTGCGGTAATCAAACATGGCAACGGAAAACTTCCCATTTATAGATGATTTTCTTGAATTTCCCATTAAAACCTCCATTCAGTTCGGGGATCTTCGTTTTCCGGGGAGGTGAAAAGATCGAGCTTCTCTGGGTCTGAAAATCAGGGCTTTACATGACCAGGACATACCAGGACCATAGACGCCATAGAATCCTCATAATTATTGGATTATCAATGATGATCTATGATTATACTCCCACATATCCCATCAATGAATCCCAATTAATCCATATATTAACCCAACATATCCATACATATCCAACACACATATATATATATATAATCCATTTACAATCCCATATTTCCATATATTTCCCAACATGAAATTCACATATCCACCCCAAGTCTCTTGGGGAAGATCGATTTTGGAGGCGAATCTGGCCCGGTGGAGCTGGACGAGGCCTTGAAAGCCAAGATCCAGGACATCGCCAAGGCGGAACATCTCTCGCTTGGCTCAAGCGGGGATGCTGATTGATGGTTGATCCATTAATGTTTGATGTTAACACAAATTTGTGGGTCCCCGATTTTTTGTAGAGGTAATATACATATATATATATTTTTTGAAGAACTTCCCGAATTTTTGATTTGTGATTGGTTTTTTGGCTGATTTGGCATGGTGAATATAACTCCAATTTCACTCGGGTGTATTTGTTATGTATCAAAAGTAAATGGCAGTGAAGCAATGTTAGTAACCACCCATATCTTATAGGGTTTAATTATGGGGAAGATAACGAACTAGTTAATGAATGGGTTTAGATACCAACTTATAGAAACACGATGACTCAGCGTATAACATATTATAGTACCCCCCAGTTGTAGATAGAAAAGTTATGAACAGTTATGAAACTTATGAACAGTTATTAAAAGTTGAAAACTTGCAACTATCAAATACTTGGGAGGTGAATGTGAAAGTCAGGGAAAGTCATGAGGAAAACCCCGATTTTTAGGTGGTTCCCAGCAGATTTGGACCGATGTCGATGCGGCAGGCGAAGAAGGAGGACTTTTTGCTGTACTGCATGAAGTACAAGGTGAGATTGCAGGGATGGAACAATGATGGAATCCAGGCATTGAAAACTCGATTTTCTAAGATTTTGTTTGTCCAAAATTGCAACAATCCCCACTAAACATCACTAAACTATATAAATTCTATGCAAGTTCATCTCTCAACTTCCCTAGTTCTACGTTCAGCAGAAAATAGCGTACTCATGAAGTATTTCTTTCAGATTCCGTGATGTTCATGTGGATGTTTTTTTTTTTAATCCATGTCCCATTGGGAAAATTGATCTGTAAAAACAAGTTGGATGCTGCGATCCGCGATCCGCAAAGACGTCAGGTCTTGGGTTTTCCCTTGGACAAACCCAAGCTGCGAATCCTGTGCTTCCACAACGCTGGCAGTGCAGAGTCAATCTACACCGGGTGCGCCAGGGTCAGGGTCGATGTGAGTGATACTTCATGAAGCGGCAATGCGTTTTTGTTGATACCAGCTTGGTGTAGGCACACCGGGACCCAACAAAATTAGAGGGGTTCGTCTCAACACCAGAAGTGCCCCCCAAAACCGTCGCACTTTCCTCACCCAAAATCCATAAAAAAAACCTTCAACCATCACCCAAAATCCATCAAAAATCAGAATCCATATCAATCCATCACAAATCCAAAAAAAAATCCATCATTTACATCACCCGAAGCCAGGCCAAAGACCCCATTCCTCGACTGGGTCAAGGAATCCAAGTTCGGCAGCCTGAAATCATCTCCCAAAAAGACATAGCAAGGCATTGATGGTGAAGATTTGGGGGGTATGATCCCAAGCATGGACACATCATTTTTTAAATATTAGTACATTTTAGTTCAGGTCTTGTGAATCATAGGACAACATTGCCCAGATTCGTTTTTGAAAATCAGGGTGTGTCCTTGAACATGGGGGCTGACAACCCCAAGCTATACTCTAAAAGTTATGGCCGTGAACATCCGTGAACAAATCGGGAAAATGATCCAAATTCACCATGGGGGGCCATACGCCATGACTTCACCCCTGATCCAACATTCATGGATTTTATGTTGGTTTCAGGGATGGTAAAAAATTGGTGGTTCTCGTGGTTTCAACATGTTCCAACTGTTTTTTTTGCTTCTGAAACCATTTAAGAGCAGTGTTCAAAACAGTGGTTTAGTATAGTGTAGCCGCATAGCCGATTACAATATACCCTTGATATATTGAGGATTTTTAACATTCATACTTCGGGGGAATCCCTATATACAATGTGGTGCCCCCCCAGTTATGAGTTGGTGTTAAAACCTCATTAACTATAGTTATACCATAAAGATCCATAAATCATAGTTAAGCCACGGCAACTTAGTTATCTTGGCCCCATCCTGTATATTATATAATATAATATATATATATATAATATTACTGTATGTAAATATGATTGATTATATAAATTATCTATAACATAACCCACCCATTTTTGCGAAAAAAGACTCCACTGGCCCTGGGTCCATCTGGGTCGATCTGGCTTTGAGGCAGGTGGAGGTCCTGGCCTTCGATTATCCTGGGCGTGATAAGCTGATGAAGGCCATGGGATTCTGGATCATAGCTGAAGATAGGTTGGGAATATCTTCGGCGATCACCATGGATCCAGGATGATCATGGATGATCTGGGTGATTTGCATGATCAAGGTATTGACCCCCTACGATGGAATTTTGGGGTCCCAACTCTTCGGCAGGCGGCCAAGCACACCAGCACTGACACCTTGGCTCCCGAGCTGCTGGTCACGTGGCGGATTTGGGCTGAGTCGCTGGGTAAACCGGGTTTCCCTGTACAGAAACCATAGAGAACCATGGTTTCCACTTTCCACCTCAAATTTTGTATTAAACCAACTAAAATTGATCTGGGAATTATTGTTTGAACCTTTTTCTTGGAGAAGATGTAGGGAGTTCATCTATAAATGGGGGATTTTCCATTGGACATGGGGTCAAACTTTTTGACACCACAAGAACATCGATAATATGAACGAATTTGTGGGTGCATTCATTGGTACTCCAATTCTGAGCCATACTTTGGAGGGAGAAAATCCTGGGGATCTTACTGTAGTGGTGAGATATGTGAGTACACAGATAAGTGAGTACACGAAAATAAACTTTAACCCAAGACTCTGGAATTGTATCACCAAAGATCTGCTTTGCAAACTTGGGACTTCGAAGCTGGGTGAAGGAAAACGGGTCTCCTTTTGCGAAGCCATTGGTTGCTGGCACCAAACATAGAATGATTTGTGAAGGGACTAGCAATGCCGAGACAGATTGTTCTAGATATTTGGGGGTTTCCCAAATTGGGGGTACCCGAACATCCGATTAAAATGGATCATCTATTTGTTGATATCTGTTGATAGATTTTTCATGGTCTCTTTTAATCGGAAATTGTGCCCCCTTCCGTTTCTTCAGAGAGTAGAATGGTCACACCTCTCGTCTCTTTTGGTGCACTCACAGGGTGTGGCGTATGAGAAACTGACGGACGGCGTTCCTTACATGGTCTGGGGACATTCCGCCGGAATCTTGGTGGGGGTGAGGCGGCTGGGATCGGCTTGGCGATTTTTTTGTGGGTGGACTGTTGCTTGTTGACAGGTTTTCAGTTGGTACAGTATATCAAGTTGTGACTCCAACTCTGAAGAATCAGTTGTCAATGCTGGTTTTTTTGAAACCCGTTACTCCTGGTTGTTTGCCACTGAATCATTCGGCATTCTTGAACTCTATGGCTGCGCCTGCATTCGAACTAGGCTCGGAGGAACCCTGATCCAACAAACGGCCCTGAATCTTTGGTATGTCTACCATACATATTTTGAATATAATGGGTCAAAAGCTATTATTGCCATAGTTGGTTATGCAAAATCATCCCAGCTATCCTATTATTCTCCCATACTCTCCCATAATAACTACCATCATCATTCCCCCACACAATATATTTACCATATAGCTATGGAAGCCATGAACCAGGTAGCTCGATGATCTACCCATTTAAATATATCAAAATACTGATGTTCCATAGCTATGTTATGTAGTTTACCAGAGGCTCCTATTATATCCCATGATCATCCCCATCATTCTATCGCTATAAATCCCATATTTTGGTGGGTAAATCCCATTAAATAACCATGGGGGAATCACCATCCATTCCTAGCGAGTTTCCACAGGTCGGCACTTGGGTAGGCTTCGAGTTCTTGATGCTCTGCCGGAAGGCCCTGGTCATGGAACGGAGACGGCACGGAGATTCCAGGTCTGTAAAAAAAAGAGGGCGGGTGACGTTGGTTACAGATTTTAAAGGTGGATATGAATGGACGGTATTCATGGGATATTTAGAGATGATTAGTGGATAATGACTTAAGTAACCAACAGATGATGTATATTAAACACGCGAATAATTCCACGTGATCTCTAATCTTTCGTGGATATGAATGGATGGTATTCAAATGTATTCGTATTCAAATGTATTCGTGGGTTCTTTAGATATGATTTAGATTGATTTAGCGGATATAAATGACCAACAGATGATATGTGGGTCTGTGTGGAAATGGAGGATTGAGGCCCAATTGAACACGATTTTAGTAGGGAAAATAGTGACCATCCAATTTACTCCATTTCTTCGGTACTCGTACTACGTACCCAATTTTCAGACAAACAAGCCTTTCATTGCTTTATTTTTTATGATCATCGCAAGTGACTCCCTTGGGGGGGTTTTGGAACAGGTACCACGGACCAGTAAAGGTACAAGCAACCAGACATGATAGGTTGTAAAACATCAATCAAAGACCAACATTCTGCAGGTTTTGGAGGTCTTACCTTAGCCGCTTTTCTGCGCCACGTCAGATTGGCATCCCAATGCCTTTGGCGGCCTTCTTTGTCGGGGGCCTAGGGCAACGCTTGGGATGCGCTGAGTTAAGGACATTCCACGTGCGTCACGGGGCAGGTCTCAGTTGATGTTTCACTTTGGAGGCTCTCCATGAAGATCATGAAGTACAAATTGACTTCTAGGACATTCTAGGACAATGGACATGCAAGAGCGTCTTGTGTCTTTGTGGTTGGAGATGTGCATTTTTGCCCTCCAAACCTTCCTTGGATGATTATTGATCATGATCATGGTCCTCCTCCTTTCTCATCATCAGCAATAGTAATAAGTACTACTACCAATCAAGAGCACAATAGTACTAATGTGTACTAGTCAAAAACAATGTAATCATCAACAATCATTAACAGTAACAATAATTCACAATCATTAGCAAGTATTAACACTCATTAACACTCATTAACACTCATTAACACTCATTAACACTCATTAACACTCATTAACACTCATTAACACTCATTAACACTCATTAACACTCATTAACACTCATCAGCAATCAGCATCAGCATCAGCATCATCATCATCATCATCATCATCATCATCATCAACATCAACATCAGCATCATCATCACCATCACCATCATCATCATCATCATCATCATGATAATCATGACAACATATCACAACAATATTGTAATATTGAATAACAATAATAGTAATAACAATGCAATAATAATCACCATCAATCCATGGTTTCCTGGTAGATTGTCCCAGGTCACATTCCCCGCGCCTCATTGGCCCGAGACGAAACGTGTCGTGGCCGATAGGACGGGTTTTGTTTGGCTTAGTAGATGGTTTAATATGGTCTAATATGGTGGAATATGGTTAAATACTGATGTAAATACTGATGCTTACTGATCGAAACAACGGAGAAGAGACATTGAGAGATAAGACTAAGAATGGTGGGGATTGAACTATTTGAAACTAGGGAAATTTGCTGATGAATATGTGGGGGACTCACACCAGCCACAAGACGGGGAATGCAAACCGGAAACGATGGGCTTGTGGCTTTGTGAGCTTTTGGGTGACAGGGATACCCTGAAGAAGTGTGAGAAACATTTAAAACTGAATCAATTGCTGGCTGTTGCTTCAAGTTTCAAACATTTAATAGCATATGTCCGCTTCAACGCATCCTTGAGTTGATTGAACCGCAAATCACGGAGCAGGCTGGGTGGCTCAACAACCAAGCAGGAATTGGCGTGTCTACGCAATTTGTTTGATGTGAACAAACGATTTAGCGACAAAAGTAGATACTGTAGACGATGATCAACGAGATATAAGATAATGATGGAGAATATATAATTATATAATATATATATATATATACACACACTATAACATATATATATATACATATTACTAATATATATATTATACATACATACTCAGATAATATATAATAGTAATGATAATAATAATAAATAATAATAGTAATAGATATAAACGTATATACTAGTATAAACACTTTGAATTCCCAGTTTCACAAGCAGATCTTCAACTCTACGGTTCTCCTAGGTCCATGGAGACGGTGTGCCAAACTCAGCGATGCGGAGATGAAGAAGGCCCGACCCAGGTCAGGTACCCTAAGTCACTGGAAAAACATGGATTACTATAACTTAGATGGATTGGTAAAATTGTCCATTTTGTACTATAACTTATGGATCTTAGATGGATTACTATAGGGTACCCTACTATTCCCTGGATTGGTTCAAAGGACAATTTTTAACCGGAAAAACCCATCTATTCCAAGCAATCCATTGATTTCCCCCAGAGACAGGGGAATAATCAACTACAAAAAGAGAGGGAGTTGATTTCATGGGAAGGATGCTGAATCATATACTGTATATATATATAGATATCACATGATGGCTAAACATAGTTAAACACTAGTTCAACACAAAGGCTGGTTCTGCAACTCCCATTGGGGATAGTTTGAACCCCATAAAAAACATGGTCATTTTGGGGCTGGTTTATTGATTGGGTTTACCATTAAACATGTTTAACCAGATAGAGACAGTCGATGGAAATAAATGGAAGTACATGGATATTGAATGAACAGAATTACAGCTGAAATATCCTAAAGCTGTGGTGGACACCATGAATTATATACTAAGAACAAACATATTTAATGTATTTTAGTGTTTCAAAACCCACACACAGGTCTTGAACGGAATGTTAAGAGCTGCGTTTAAAGTATGACAAATGGTAAACCAAAACGTGTTCTCTCCGTGAAATCGCTTGCGCTTTTTTGAACAATCAGCCCCTATACATGAGCAGGGTCAAACCAACCCCCAAGTGATGTCTTGCCTGGGTACTCGTAGTTCGCATTGCATTTACCCATTCCAAGAGTGGTTCGATGCTATAAAAAACTTCTTGTTCTTTTTCAGAAAAAAAAAACAATGTTTTCCAATGCCTGTCTCCTGCGATCGCAAGCGCCAGGAAGTTTTGGGTTGGGATGCAGTTCATTTTGGAGGGGCAGGAAAGGCCGGGCCAGGGCGGAGCGGAGCGGCGGCGGAGCTCAGCCGTGCAGACAATACTCTCCAGGAAGCCAACGTATTGAAAATCCGCCCACAGAATCGAATTTCCCAAGGAAACCATGGATAATCATGTATATATATAATATATATATATATTATATGATATATATATATATATTATATCGTATGATATGTGTTTCCTCCTTACTATGGGTCAAGCATGGTCAAGCTACCTCAGGGTAGAATCAATCCAATCTTCGGGTTTGGCCTAAAAATTCGAGGATAGCACCAAATTGGCAATTCTACCGGAGAAAATGCTATGTTCATCTATGTTCTATTCCAAGCCTAGGGATTGATTTTTGAATATTTTTGATGGGTTTCCCCAAGGTTTTCAAGCGGCCAATGATTTTTGATCATCTTAGGGATGCCCTTGACCCCATGTTTTTCAGCGATGATGGGCTCGGCATCCGATAGAAATTCTTTGCTTTCAGATGTGGGTCGCCACTAGCCAAGCCAATCAAGCAGCCAAGCACCAGGTGGTCTTTGAAGAGCCAACTTGGAAGGAGACCTGGGAACCCATGATGCGTGCGGACTTCAAGTTGTTCGATGAGTTCCCTGGCCTTTGATGGTTTTTCTGGCTGGGCGGGTCCAACTTGTTCCGCTGTGGCCCAAATACATTGAAGTTCTTGGCACACTAGAGGTACAGCCACAATATCAAGGAAGTGTGTTAGTTCACCTACAAACAGCCTGGATTCGCCCAAACTGACGCGTGGAATTCTTTGTTCTTTGTGAAACCACAGAGGTTCGCTGTAGAAGGATGAGTATTCTATGGGTTTCTAAGGACCAAACATTGCCATGCAGCTGCTGCAGCCAGGTACAAGTTCAAGCATGCTGGAGCGCCGAAGTTTGATTTCCCGCTGCACTGCTGGTGGTGCGAAAGCGAGCAAAATGTCAAGAGTGAGATGGTGCAGGTGTGCGGAACTATGAGTTGCTGGTGTCGTTGCAGCAATGGTATTAGCCAATAGTAGACAACCTTAGCCGTTGGTATCAGTTGATGATTTGCACTTGGCATTCTCTCAAACAGGGCGGTTCCAGGCAGCATCATTCTTTTCATTTCTTTTCACATCTTTCATATTCAACATTATTCAACCATTCTTGAAAATATCGTTCACTTCAACCGCCGATGACGGGAATATCAACCAGCCAAAAATGGGTCCTGGTCAGGCCTGGAAGGATTGGACCTCTGCAGATTTTGACTATCAGGTCCTGAAGGACGCGGAGAGCGTCTCCGCTGGAATGGAGACGATATTTTTTTAAGCAGAATTGATGGGTCATTACCTCTAATACATCAGGTGTTGTATAATGTTGTATATATATATATATTATAGCCGAGAAAGGCATATATCATTGATTTCGTGATATTTCCCCGTTTGAGTTAAACGTGTCCTTGCTCGCAAAGACACGGAGATTTTTCCAGGGTTCACTTCAACACTTCGCCAGGACAATGGTCACCTTACAGCTTTCTACAATCCGGGGATGAAGAAGGCTGGGTTCTGGAGGGAAACCCAGTGGTTTTCAGGATTTGCCCATGGGTGAAGATCTGAGATATGATTATGGATAATTGATGTAGATATGATATCTTTTGCCAGTTTTTTTTTTGTTTGGGGTCCACCTTTGTTTATATTGTAGGAATCCGTCAGATGCTATAGATATGTGATGATCATCGTGCGGGATTCAATCGTGATTGGAGTCAAGCGGATCAACACCCCAATGGAGGTTTCCATCCCAAAATAATGACCCAAATTTGGTCATTTACAGCGGGACACACATGTTTTTGGGTGCCTCCGTGCCTCCCAATTTAATCACCATATCTGTTGACCTGAGAGCGTGCCGCTGACTGACCTGGCCAGGAATACTTTACCAAGGTCACGGAGAAGATGAAGAAGTACTCGGGTTTGTAGTTCATCTTCTGTGTCCCGTGGTTCCAAGCGACTCAACTACTCCATGATCTCCATAGGTTTCACGAAAATTCGCGCTGAGGGATTTTGAACTGAACATGATTGGCGCATTTTTGAGGAACCACCAAAGACGAATTTCGTTGAAGCAGTGCCAGAAGCTGCCGCACTGAGCAGATGGATTTCTGGCATCGGAGAGTTTTTTGGAATTTATGGTGAATGATTTGTGGTTGTTGCTGTTCTCCTGGTGTTTTCCTTGTCAAGTTATCTCAATCGCTCTGTGAGATCAATCTATTTGTTTCAGTGCGTCACGGCAGCGCGACTCAGAGGTGTTGAAAAAAACGTCACGACCCATCTCAGAGCCAAGATCTGCCATCTGAAATGTTGGTGCTGACGATTGGTAGGTGTGGGGCCGACAAGGGCCTTGAAGATGCCCCCGGCGGCGGGGCTTCATCTGTTCTTATATAGAGAGATTCTCCGCGAAGGAAAAAGAACTCAACATGAAATGTGGCTTGTATTGGCTTGCAATGGCACGATTGCAGGGGGTTCCACTCGAAATCTGATGCCATCAGTACTAGTGGTGCTAATCGGATAGGCGCTGCAGAGCGTGAGCGCGCACATACGCCAGGCGGAAATCTCTCGACAAGATGTGACAACCCAAACTAGTAGCCCCATTCTCAGCACTGTTGTCGGTGGTATAGTTCTCGTAGAAGTCGTGGCTTCAGCCCTACACGGCCCTACGATGCGCTATAGACTGAAAGCCGAAATCCTTCAATGCTCTGAAGAACACTTGGAAAATGCCTAATCTGCGCACTTGCAAAACCTTGCAGACTGTCAAGCTATGCAGGAATTCAGCCACCTCTTAGTAATCTGCGATAGTTCTACGTCGATTGCCTGGTGCCCACAAGAGCTCAGTGCTTGAGACAGAATGCACAGAGATTCCTTCTGCACTCGGGCCTTTTAGCCAGTTACCTGCATTTTTTAAAAAAATCTTTGGACCAAACTTGCCCATTTCCCAAGAATTGCTTGAATAATGTTGAAGATGGTTGAAGCAGGAAAATCCTACTTATATAATTGGTTCTATAAATCCCGGTTTCCGGTAAACAGTGCCGTAAGGAAAGCCGGTGATCGATGGGCCAGGGAATTGGGAGCAACCAGGTCGTGCACACATTAGAAATTTTGTTGACGCTACAGCGTGGATGGATTTTTTGAACACAATTTGTTGGCTGAAGCTGGGTAAGATGGAAATGAGATGAAATAAGATATGACAAATTATGACAAATCGAACTGCGAGATATGAGAAGTGTCGACTTTTCACGACCGCACTTGCAACGGCAAGATCAGTCGAAACTTCCGCAGGTCTTCTCCACAAGCTCCCCGACCCCAACGTCTAAACCTGGTTAAAAATGTTAAAAATGCTGCAACTACGGTAATACCAATAACTTCATGATTTCTGCCAAGAATCAACACGAACTGGAACGGTGTGTACTTGCGCAAAGAATTTACTGAAGCGGGATTATAGTCTATATCGAACTCATCAAAAGCAACATTTTTTTTGCGCGATACATCACATATCGTACAAACCTGCGGGCGTTCGAATACATTGCGAAGTGGTGAATGCGCTCGATGACAATGTGACAATGATGACCGTGATGACCATGATGACGATGATGATGATGATGATGATGACGACGACGACGACGACGATGATGATGCTGGTGGTGGTGGTGGCGGCCGCCGTGATGATATCAGGCATGCAAACACCTTAGCAGCTTCTGATGAGCGAGGACACGCAGGATTTCAACAACGGGGGCGACCTGGCTGGGCTAATTCAGCAATCTTAACGATGTGCTTGCAACCAGACACGCTTTAGCTTTAGTACAACTGCGCTTGAAACTTTTTCATGCCATGGCGAGTCCGATGTTTTTGACTGATTGCGCCCTTGACCAACACCGAATGTCGAATGGAACACGCTGGCCGCTGGTAGATACAACGGGGCGATGACGAGAAAGAATAAGGACACCATGGATTGGGTTCATCCTTGGACGAAACAGCTGGCGAACCAACAGTGGCAGGTAATTTGCTCGTTGCCTCATCCTGTTTTAAGATGTTTGAAGGTGGTGTCGCAGGAGCAAGTGGAAGCAAATTCGTCCAAGGTCCAATAAAATTTGTTTCTTAATGCTGTGCAATGAACAACGGACATTGTTATCAAACAAGATGCAGCCCACGAACTCGAATGCAGTCACGTAAAACACTTTGTGAAACGAATTATTTGATTAGTTTTGTATATATTTTCCCCTGTTACCGCACCGCACCAGTGCACTGTAGACTGTGGAATGTGGAAAGGGGTGGAATGCAAAGTGTGGAGTGTGAAGAAAGTGGAGTCTTGATTGGGGAATGTAGTGTGTATAGAGTGTGAATTGGGGATTCTGGAGTGTAAAGTGTAAAGTGTAAAGTGTAAAGTGTAAAGTGCGGGGTTGTGAAATGCAGAGTGTAAAGTGTCAAGTGTGGAGTGGAAAGTGTAGACTGTAGAGTGTGAAGTGTAAAGTGTCAAGTGTCAAGTGTGGAGTGCAAAGTGTAGACTGTAAAGTGTAAAGTGCAAAGTGTGGAGTGTAAAGTGTAAAGTGTGGAGAGTCAAGTGTAAAGTGTAAAGTGTGGAGAGTCAAGTGTAAAGTGCAAAGTGTGGAGTGTAAAGTGTAAAGTGTGGAGTGTAAAGTGTAAAGTGTGGAATGTGGAGTGTCAAGTGTAAAGTGTAAAGTGTGGAGTGTAAAGTGTAGAGTGTAGAGTGTAAAGTGTCAAGTGTCAAGTGTGGAGTGTAAACTGTAGACTGTGAAGTGTAGAGTGTGAAGTGTAAAGTGTAAAGTGTGGAGTGTAGAGTGTGAAGTGTAAAGTGTGGAGAGTCAAGTGTAAAATGTAAAGTGTGGATTGCAAAAGTGTAAAGTGTGGAGTGTAAAGTGTGGAGTCTAAAGTGTAAAGTGTGGAGTCTAAAGTGTGGAGTGTAAAGTGTAGAGTGTGGAGTGTAAAGTGTCAAGTGTGGAGTGTAAAGTGTGGAGTGTGGAGTGTAAAGTGAGGAGTGGAAAGTGTCAAGTGTGGAGTGTACAGTGTAGAGTGTAAAGTGTAAAGTGTCGATCAAAGTGTCCGAATTACTATGCTTGTCACGCATAACATTCCACACACTACGGATCTGCACCAAATACTGCGCCTGCCCTGCAAAATGACACTCACAATGTCCCACGCCTGCCAGGCGATTTGCACGTTGTCACCACTTGACGCAGCCCTGACAATGCGATCCGCAATATGACGATGGAGGTCTGGCACGAAGAAATCCATTCATCTTCCGAAAACGACGGAAAAACATTATTTGCGACGGTCACAAAAAACGACTTTCCATGAGTTATGAAACATGTTGGAATGCCACGAAGTGCAGTGCCTGCCACGCGAAACGAGCCTATTCAGCGTTGGAAACCTTCAAAAGTGACCTCTTTTGAAGCAACCCCCATGAGCACGGCATCCGGCCCTCATGCGCAACGTCGAGCGAACCCACCCTCAACCCTCAGACCCCGCATGCGGGAAAAAAGTGCATTGTGCTGCAGTCGCGGAAACTTCTCGCGGAATCCTTGCGGGAGGAATGAATAGTGTCAATAATTAAGTAAAAAATATTAAAATCAGGCCCGCAAAAACGGCCCAAAGGCGTGGCCTGGAACAACGCTGTAAAACATTGTTTCAAGGCCCATCCAAAAGATTGCATGAAATTGATCCATTCCATCGCCCGCTACATTGAAGTGTAAACAAGTCCTAGGCTCTTCGTCGAAAGCAGCAACCCAGGCATATGAAAACAACATTTCTTATTGGGTGAAACATGGTGAAACAGAAACGTGATAAAAACATATAGAACCCACAAACCCGAATGCACATCACGAGCTGGGAGTAAATGTTTGAAAGGAACTAACGGGTGACTGAAATAAAGTCATGTTGGTCATGCGGCAGTGGTGGGGCATTCTTGGAAGACACTCACATAGAACACATTCACACTTGCATTCCTTTGGCGCTTCGGAAACTCTGTTGCAAGACGATGCGGTAAGAAACCGTTGTGAGACATTGAAACACTGAAACATTGAAAACGCTTTTGTGGGCCGTTCGGCAAGACATTCTTCCTGGACACTCGTCTGGCACACTTTTGAGGGAAACATGTGTAAAACATGATTGTTGGGCATTCTTGTTAAAACAATTTTCAAACACTTTTGTCGGAAACTTTTGGGCAATACCATTCGTGAGACACTGTTGTGAAACCTTGGTGAGACACTTGTGTAAAGAGATTCCTTCAAGGCAAAAAATAATAAGCGCCAATGGATAGTTGTTTTCTTCAAAGCGAGCGTTTCCAATGTCATGTCACCATTCAAATTCTACAGGTGCGTGCTTCAAATCGGAAAGGATATGGTTGAAAATATGGTATACATTGCTTTTTATTTTCAAACCGCATCACGGCTGCAAAACAAACATTGATTTTTTTCATATTTTTTCCCTACCTGCCAGGTGAGAATATTTCCATTTTATAATAACAACATATCCTGCCTCCTTTCCTTTGTCCCTGCCTGCCTGCCTGCCTTCCTTCCTGGTCATCGCCAGTTTCCTTGCCAGCACCCTATCGCAAACTCGCCAGCTCTCTGAGTCCTGCCGGCTCACTAAACGAAGAATCGCGAATTCATAGGTTCTCTGGGCCTCGCCGCGCCCAGGTTGAACATGTCAAGTTTTCTACCGCATAGATTGCCGAAATCAATGGGGGACACAATGTCAATCGGAATGCCGGATAAAACTGACAAATGGCGAGTTAACTTGTCGAAAGGCATGTCACAGTCGAAACGCACGTGGAGATTTCACAAGAACAACTTTACATGGAAATGTGGGCCCCGCCTTTCCGGGCTCGCCGTCCGTGCTGAATTTCTGTATACCATCAGCATCCATCAGCTACTAAAGGGTCTGGAATCATATATGTTAAGGGTACTCCGGGAGGTGGGGTCTAGAATCTGCGCCGGGAATATTGGACACGAC